GCAAAGGGAGAGGAAGAGAGGGATCAAGACCAAGTCTCAGGTTTTGCCTAAGTAACTGGAAGGATGGAGTTGACATTAACTGATATCAGTAAGGCTGCGGGAGGGGCAGGTTTGGAGGGATAGTTCCAAAGGTTGTAAGACAACTGAGTGGAGTTGCAAGAAGGCTGCTGAATATATGAGTCTGGAGTTCAGGGGCAGGGTCTGGAATGGAGATAAATTTAGGATTCATCTGTATGGACTTGATGAGTTCATGAAAGAAGTAAATATGGACAGAAAATAGAAAAAAGAAAAGGTCCAAGGACAGAGCCCACAGAAACCATGGACGATGGGGTCAGGTAGGATGAAAACCAGGAAAGTGCCATGTCCAGAGAAAGCAAGAGAGCAGGAAGGAATGGCCGACTGGATCAAAACTGCTGCAGAGTCAAGGAGGGAGAGCTCTGAGACCCCCTCAGCGCATCCAACACAGTGAAAGTGATTGCTGACTTTGAAAAGAGCAGCTCTAGTGAAATGGTGGAGATGGAGGCGGATTAGACTACTCTAATCCGTAGTCTAATTCAGTAGCAATGAAGAGGAAAAAAATTGGAGTGAATATAAACAACTATTCTAAGGCATTTTGTAAGGTGAGCAGAGAAATGTGGGGGTAATAGAGACAGAAATGAGTGGGAGAGATTCTGTTTTAAGTTGTGGAAATAACTGCATGTCTGCATGCCAATGGAAATGATTCAGTAGGAAGGGGGAAATGAACGATTTAAGAGAAAGAGAAGAGAATAGAGTAAGAGAAAGGCAATTGGATGCCAAGTACAAATGAGAGGTGACAGATAGGAGCGCAGAGAGCTGACCCAGTAATAAGAGAGAAGGTGCAGGAAAGAGGTGGGTACGCAGGTGGTGGGGGCTTTGGAAGAAATGATTGTCAGTGTTCTCAGCAATGGAGAAACGTGGTCATCAGCTGAGAGTGAGGATGGAGTGAGAGGTAGTGTTTAAGGCAAGAGGAGAAGGTGTGAAATAGCTTTCTAGGATCGTGGGACAGTGAACAGACAATGGAAATATAGTATGATTTGGGGGGGGCAGAATTAAGGGCCCACTTGAGTTCTGCTACCATGAGTATAAAATGAGCCCACAGCCATTGTCCACGGCAGGGACAAAAAGGTAGAGTACACAGGAACACGAGCAGGTGAGCACCTTGAAGTGAGAAAAGGATGAGAGTCAAGGGTATAATGCAAGAGACTGTAGATAAAGTCAGACACTGGAATTTGTACCTGGTGAAAAGTAATAGGAAACATGAGAGGGTGAGAGACAAAGTTGGTAAGTTCAATGGACTGGAGGTCCTGGTACAGGGTTTTTAAAATAGTGGTCCTAGAGAGAATAGGCAGGCAAGACAGAAAATGGGGAAAAGAGAGGACAATTGAAAGTGAGTTTTAAGAGGGGTGGCAACTAGTGGTAAAGACAAGAGCTAGGCCAGTGCTGCTCAAACTTGAATGTGCACATAAATCCCCTGGTGTTAGTATGATATACATTTTGATTCAGTAAGTCTAGGGTGGGGCAGAGCCTGGGATTCTGCATCTCTATCCAATTCCCAGGTAACATAGATGCTGGTGGTTCAAGGAACTTATTTGAAAGGCGGTGATCTAGTTTGCTATTCCTCAATCCTAGCAGTAAACTACAGTCCCAAGGGGAGTTTAAAAAATACTGATGCTCCACTCGTCTTGACCAGTGAGTCAGAGTTTCTCTGGGTTGAATTTGGAATTGATAGATTATAAATGTTCTCCAAGTCATTCTGCAGTGAAGCCTGGGTTGAAAACCTCTGTCCTAGAAAATGTGACTATGAGTATGACTTGGAGTCAAGATCATTGCAGGAGGGAGGGTTATGGAACTGAGGGGCCAAAATGTTGAAAATGGCACCTTTTGTTATTAAAATCATCAGAAATTATGACGGAAGTTGTACTGGATAAAATGGCTATGAATCCAGAGGTCTGTAGATGATTTAAAAATACATAGGAATTGGGTGACATAATCCGATGGCATGAGAGTTAAAGGAAGGCTGTTTGCACAGAAAAGTCTGAAACGGACAGTGCAGAGCCCATAGGGGGCTCCCTGGCACCCCCAACACAGCGGTATGTGGGATTTAGGAAACATCCCCCATTGGAGAGGATTCCAGAAGAAACAGTAACATCATGAAGAACTAGGTTTTTAGTTAGAGAAAAGTGAGGGGGGAAAAAAATTTTTTTAATGGAATTCTTTGGAGGATTTCACAACTGTGTTCCACGGCCAGATGGAAAGGATTTAAGGATTCTGGAGGGCGGCGGTGGAAAACTGTGGAGCAGGATGAGGACTCCGGCGCAGGAGAGCGACGCCCTGCAGCTTGGCCCTAAGCTTCTCGTGGAGATGATGGTCTGACATTTCGCAGGGTGTTGTGGCGCGCCTGGGAGTATCGAAACATGGAGAACTGAGAGGAAGGGTCCTTCTAGAAGCTGGGGAAGTCCTGGGCTCCTCTCTTCATTTCTACAGATATTTTCTAGATATTTTATTCAAACAAAGGCATACAAATTAGCCCGTCATGGGAAACAGATCAAAGATGAGCTGCTCTGGTTCAAGCGGAAGTTCGGGGGCGAGGGCAGAGCCCCTGCAGGACCCTGGGGCCTCCCCAGCCCTTCTGTGCTGCTGGGGCCCTTGGGGCTCAGGCCCTAGTCGCGGCTCCCAGGTCGGTGAGAAACACCCAAGGAAAACGCAACCGTCCATAAAAAGTAAAGACCACGTGCTCAATAATCATGTTAAGTCTTTTAAAATCTTTTGTCAAGTGTTCCAGTTGCTCTCTTTCCTCCTTGTAATAAATTCTTCAAATAAGCAAGTGGTTTTCAATATCCCGTGGGACTTTTAATGTCACTTATGATTAGGAGAACAATATTGTCGTTAACCAATATTACATGCATAGAGAAACCATAGTTTTGAACAGTCACGACTTAGGGCAGGTTCTTCAGAAGCAGACCACGAAGCAAAGGTTTGAATGCAAGTGGTATTTAAAAATGCACTCCCAGGAGAGCCTTGAGGTGGGCAGAGCAAGCAGAAGAGAAAAGGGAAGCCCAGAAAGAATGTGAATTCAGAGCCGATCCCTGCAGCAGTACTCTAGAGAGTGAAACCTCAGACTTTGACTGCGATTGGCCAGTTTCCTAAGGCTTTTCTCCACACCTTGTGAGACTCTGTGGAGGGGGCAATCGGTCAGTAGGATGGGAACCCCTAGGCACTTCCAGGCAAAGAGTCCAGGAGCCTGACTCCAGTCCTTTGGAAAACAGTAGCAGGTATAAAGTTCCTGAAAGAAAAGCACAGAGCGCAGAAACAGACACACACACAAGTAGAAGAGATCTACAGCCAGCTCAAGGGAACCCAGCAGTGCCTTCTGTAAGTGGAAAGCATTCTTCAGAACGGCATAGATAACCTAGACAAAGATTAGATTAAAAATTATTAATGTCACTTTTCAATTACTGTCAAGTCAATTTCTGATGGTATGAGTTTTGCTACCTTCCCCCGTGCACTTCCAACAGGATCATATTGCCACACACACAAGGGCCATATTTTGAAAAAATCCAGGTCAAGTGAGGATAAGTATCTGATCAAATATATCCAGACATGGCCCTGACTGAATGTGTAGTCTCTATTTGAAAACAAAATGCGTGTTTTAAGCTCCACTGTTTTAGATGAATTCCATTTTCTTTCTCACTTCCATTAATGTAAACACCAAGAATGGTTACCTATTTCAAAATTTACATGATTACAAAGAGTTGCTCTTACCGACTTTCTCATACTTTTTTTTCCAAGGTTGTTGTTGGTTTTTGTTTTTCCCTTTAAATTATGATCTCTCTTCCACTGATTAGAAGAGCATTATTTTAGAGTCCCTGAGTTAGATTTAATTTAGAGCCGTGCAGCATCAAGCACACTGACAGATTTAGAGATTAATTTCCAGACCTCTTGTGGTGCTAGAGAAGCTCCTTAAGATTTTGAAAATGGCAACACTATTGACTCCCTACTGCTAAAGGTTACCTGTATTCACATCCACACTAACGCAAAAGGAAAGTTTAAATGTGATAAATATCAATGTTGTTTTGTTTATGGACAAACCTGTGTATAAGAGCGGAAAATAAGAAACGGTTTATAAGACAAGAAGTAGTTTATCCTTTATAGGATAGCTTATACAGATATATCTCCCTTCTTTCATTCCATAGGGATAACATTGCTGTTGCTAAGTTGATATTAATTACATAGAAAAAAAGTGTAGCTTAATAATTTTAAACAGTCATTTCTGAGTTTAGGTTCTCCAGAAGCAAACAATGAGCCGAAGATTTGAGGCCAGTGATATGTAAAGAGATTTGAGTATGACTACATGCTATTTGGATTATATTGAGAGTTGGGAGAAAACCTTTTTTCCTGAACTATTTTGGCTTAGATGCATCTCCAAATATATGTTTACTGCATTTTAAAATAAGTGCATTTTCAGGGAAATTTAATCCATATGTTTCAGCTGGTCTACACATAAATCATCCAAATGTTGTTTTATTAGAGCTACATGTGTAAGATGCCTCTTGAGTTTTTAAAATAGTTCTGATATTCTTTTCTGAAAAGCTGCAGGTAGGTTGCCAAAAGTAAACAATTGCAACAGCAAAGGGTTTGAGTTAAGTCTGAAATGCTTAGCCTATTATTTTTGATTGGGTTCTAAACCTGGCAGCGGCACATTCCCTGTTGCTGCCTGCAGGGCGCAGTGAAAACAATTTAAACATTGTATTACCCAGTGGGTTCATTGACATTTGAGAACACCATAGTACAGACAGAATCAACATGTTTGGCAGGTGAGTGATAGATACTTCACATGACCTCAGAAAGTTACTTCCTCCCAGTTTGCAGAAGTTCATAGCATGAAGCAGTGTTATACATATTGCAAAACATAAGTTAAGATGGGCAGATATCAGGGCATACAAACGGGGGAATTCTCTATTTATCTTGTGCATCTTTAGGTGGAATGGTTGAAAAATGAAGACATAATTGATCCTGTTGAAGATCGGAATTTTTATATTACTATTGATCACAACCTCATCATCAAGCAGGCCCGCCTCTCAGATACCGCGAATTATACTTGTGTTGCCAAAAACATTGTTGCCAAGAGGAAAAGCACAACAGCAACGGTCATCGTCTATGGTGAGTGAGCTTGTGGGGTCTCAATCTAGTTCATGTCAAAGTGAAGGTCTCATTTTAATTTTAAAACATCAAATGCAAGTCTCCTTTTCAATGCCCATTGCTGCCCTCTCCCAGCTTCTCATGTGGATGGTGAGGTTTAATTCCTTCCCTGACACTCATGGAAAGGCTAGACTTGGGAATTCCTAGCCCTTTGTCAGTCAGTTTATAGGAAAGTGAAGGAAATCCACTTAAGTGCCAGCCACTTCCCTAAGCCCTCCCCTCTCCCTACCCTGGTCCACTGAGATCTAGAGTGAATTTGGAGAGGAGATGCTTAACGCAGCCTGTTGCTCCTTCTGTGAACCTTAGTTCAGTCCAATGACTGCAAAACGTCAGATAAACTGGAGCTGACATGTTCGTTCCCCAAACACATCATGGCAACTTTAACTTCCTGGAACTTGCTTTACACCTTCCATCTGGAACATTCAGAGTAAGGAAAAGCACTGCCTTCACCAAGTGGCCCTAATCCTAACCATGTGGAAAGTTCAATATCATGACTTCTTCAAGAATCTTCCCTGCCACTCTCTGGCCCTTCCTGATCTATCTCATTTCTAAGCCTATCATTTCTCCTGAAATAGTAAACAATTTCCCACCCAATTTCGCTGTGGCATGTGATTGATGCTTTTTCTCCCTGTCTGGTTTAGAGCTCAGTGGATTTCTAGTCATTTCATGAGTAGCTCCTTCTCCCCCGCTGTGTCATCTTTAAGCTAGTTTATGCACTAAGAGTCAACTCTATACAATTACGTATTTCTCACAGTTTAGACACACAGTAGGTCTTCATATTCTTGATGAGTTATTGTCTCAGAGGAAACTGAACAACCTTGGGAAGGACTTTGAGGTTATGCCACATCCTGAATGACATGACTGCCACTTAAAATCTAAAGAAGCTTGTCAAGGCTGCTCCAGTGTTTAGTGACATTCCAGGGGCCTTGATATCTGGATGACTCTGAAGGAGTGACAGCCACCAGCAAGTACCCGGCTCAGGGTACTTATAACAGACAACACCTCTTGGACGGATGTGCCCTTACGCTGTACAGAGCTCTGAGAACAGAAACCTCTGTGACGTTCCAAAGGCTGAATGTAGTGATGCTTTAAACTATCATTTTCATCACAGGACAGATGCTTACTATTTTCTTTAATTCTGTGAATACTCCGAGGTTTAATTTTCTAGTCATGCTAATCACTATGTTGAATTGTAAGCAAATGCTTTCTTAAGTCACAATGAAATGTTCCTGTTTGTCTTTTTATAAACCAAATGACTTAATTAACTGCATTAAAAATGCAAAAGAGAAATGGAGCACATCACAGTACATACTTGTAATAAATAACTAATGAAGGCAGACTCTATATAGATGCGTTGCATAGATGTGTAATATACATGCACATCGCTTCTCCTATGGAGAACATACTTTCAATATCCAATAATTACAATCAATAATCACAAGTAATCAATAATTACAAGCCAAACATTGTCTTTAGGAAAGATCAAACATAAATCACAAGCATTCTGAGTTCAAAACAGCATTGGGCTAGGGTTCCAGGGTCCTGTGAACTAATTCTACTGACCACTCACTGACTCTCAGCTGCACTTAAGCAGGATGCTTGGAGCCCATCAAATGAGGGAATAAGCCTAGGATCTTCAAAAACTTTTCTTTTTTTCCTAAAAGTTTGAGATTATTCATTTCTCATTAAAATCCTAACAGAGCAACACATGTATATGTAACCCTAAATGTCAGCTTGCCAATATGGTAGTAAGAAATTTATACTGATAATTCCACAACATTTGGAGCTTTGAAAAGTTGAGTAGGCTAATGTGCTTTTTGAAACACTAACACTCTACTTATTAACCACTTGTTTGTCCTTTTTAGGGCCCCATAAAATAAATTGTCCAAGGCTTACAGGTTGGGTTCACCAGAAGTCCACAGAAAAACATATACACCTAACCAGGATTTCATTTTTGAGGCAGCTGTGTATATTTATTTTTGTTAGTGTCATTTTTAGATTGAAAATATATGTCTATTACAGAAAATCCAGGAATCACAGAATGGCCAATGAAAAAAATGCCTATTAATCTTATCATCTTGTCATCCAAAGATAGCTTTAAAAAAGAGTCTTACATACCACTGATTTTTTCTACTTACTTAAAACATAATATTGAAATACTTATTTATTACTAAATAGATTTCTACAACATCACTTTTAGTGACTGCCTAGGAGTCAACTGCATGAACATGCATGGTTCCTTTACCATTGTCCTATTGTTGAACATTGTAGTTGTTTTTAATTATCTTTATATAAAAAAATAACTTGTGAAAAATACTCTTGTTTGAGTCTGTGTATATATGTGCATTAACACATGGATGATTATTCCCTATTGCACAGGTTTCTAGAAAGGAGATGTTGGGCATGTGATATGCTCACATAAGTTTGTGTTACTTGAATGGCTAACACTTTTCTTTCCTATCAGGAAGCATAAGCATATATTAGTTGTGTCATGTCCTAACTACCAGCAAATTATTTTTGTTAGAAATTGCTTAATTACAAAAAAGTCATAGACTCACATTTTTGAAGTACTAAAATATATCATTGTAATTTCTTAGGTGAGATCTCAGAGGTAAATAAAGAACAGTGTTAGACTATAAGTTTGATTATCTCATCTATAGTGACATCTCCATCAAACACCATAATTAGCCTTTATACACAAAAATAGGTGCATTTCAATTACATCAACTACTTGCCAAATCAATCAAATAGCTACTCAATTAGTAAAAAATCCAGCAACATAGGACTTGATTTTTTAACCAGGTTCAATGGTTAGTTAATAAAACTGACTAAAATTCCTTAAAAGGTTTGTAAAGTTTACATATGCTAAAGAAAAATATTTAATCATCTGTTATTAAGAAAAGACAGAATAATTTTATTCAGTTCCCATGTTTCAGATCCACTTAATAGCCTTGGCATAAGAATGTAAATATTTATTATTTGAGATAAGCTGTCAAAAGTAATTTTTGGAGCTTAACAAAGTAAGGGGATGTATTTTGTTTTAAAAAGAACACAGAGCAAGGAAAAGAGAACACAAATTGTATTTACTTTTTTGAGTAGGTGAGTAAATGTTGGCAATGAATTTTATTTATCTCTGTGCTTATATTCTTCAGCTTTGTGATAAAACTTTGAATGAAATGGTGGCCAAGGTCCCTTCTCGCTTTGAATTTTATAGTTGCTTGGGAGATAACATTTTGTTTATGTGTTATTTGTGGTTTATGTGTCTGTGGGTGCATACACTTATATTTAATCTACATTTTATTATTTACCTCCTTCCAGTAAATGGTGGCTGGTCTACCTGGACAGAGTGGTCTGTGTGTAATAGCCGCTGTGGACGAGGGTATCAGAAACGCACGAGGACCTGTACCAACCCAGCACCACTCAACGGTGGTGCCTTCTGCGAAGGGCAGAGTGTGCAGAAAATAGCCTGCACCACATTATGCCCAGGTAAATAAACCAGCGTTTTCATTCTAAATGTCTCCTTCCATTACAGAAATATGTTTTAAGGGTTATGTACAAAGCCTTATCCTTGACCCAAATGTGTGATAAACATTATTTAAATCCATCAAATCATTCATTGCTTACATTGCTGACAAATCAGATATTTTCCCCCCAAAGAGAAGTTAACTTTATTATCCAGACATAGAAAAATAGTATAAAACAGGAAATTAAACATTTATAAACATCGTCTTTCTCTATTACTAAACAAAACTGCTGGAGCCAAGAATGCAGATTCTGTAATTCAAAAGATTTGAGCAGCATTGAAAGTCACACATTTTAGAAATAGCAATCCTTGGTCTCCAGAAAGCCCTGGAAATTGATTGAAAGTAAGATTCAGAAAATGCTTTAGACTGAAATATTGGATATTTGGTGTCAGTTTCTGGGCAAGTGCAAGTAAAACATTTGGATGGAATTAAAAGAAGTCTAAGCTTTGTGACCCATGAGCTAATGGATTCTGAAAATACAGTGCAGTCAGAGCTTTATTATCTGTACATGTTGGTCACCTATTTTGTGAGTTATTTGCCAACATTGTATCCCTCTGCCTCTGAGCATCTTTCTGTGCTATTTTATATTGTCACCTGCTCTTATCCCCAAGTAAATTGAAGCCAATATCCACCAAAACCAAAACTCACTAAACTGACTAATAAATAAATTGAAAATTCTAGCTAAAATTATGCTTGAAATAATTCATAAATTTAGTGCACTCCATTGAGGCAGCTATTATATTATCGATTTCATTATTTAGGACGTCTTTTTACCTCTAATTTTGTCTAATTTTACTTCCCTTATTTTGTCTAATTTTTGTCTAGTTTATCCTTTTAAAAAGAAAGATTTTACTCATTTATTTTTACAGAGAGGGGAGAGAGGGAGAGAAACACCAGTGTGTGGTTGCCGCTTACATGCCCCCTTCTGGGCAACTGGCCCGCAACCTAGGCATGTGTTTGACTGGGAATTGAACCAGTGTCCTTTTGGTTCACAGACCAACACTTAATCCATTGAGCCACGCCAGCTAATGCTAGTTTATCCTTTAATACAAACTATCTCAGAGATAGGTTGAAGAAATGAACTAAAAAGAAAAACATTGTCTATATTTTGTATTCTTGTGTTGATTTCCAAATATCAAAACAGTATTCTACATTGAACCCTTGAGAGCTTTTATTTATGGAACAAATTTTGACACTTAGCTAGGTTTACAATTTCAGTATTTTATCCTGTACTGTTCTATATTTTATCTAGATGTTGGCTCCCACAATGAAAAATGTTTTGAGCATTTTGAGTTGAAATAGACATATGCGTGTGTGTGTGTGTGTGTGTGTGTGTGTGTGTGTGTAATTTAGAATGGTCGAGGTCAGAGCAAATGCTTTTCTCCAGATAGCTGGGAACAGCTTATATAGGCAGCTTTGTATGATTAAAGTATTAATGCTTTCATTATTTTTTCATGTGCACATGTTTATATTTCTCTACATATTATACATAATATATTTACACAATAACTTGAATATGAAATCATATAATCGACTATTAAAATAATATTATTTCTATCAATTTGCAGGTATAAGGTGCTATATATATTAGATGTTTAATAAATCATACTTAACATTATTTACATTGAATTCTAGATAAAAATAATTATGTATTTCAGGAAAAAAATTTTTAAATTGAGCATTTATCAATATTTTTATATTATTAATGTAAAAACCTTTAAAGAATATATTTTAAAATATGACCTTAGTGAGATTTACTGTATATTTAACTTGGAAATTTAAACTGTTTTTAAATAAAGATATCTCAGCTCATTATCATTGAAATTACTGCCCAGTCAGCCACCAAAAATAGGAAGAAAGGGAGTCAATTCTAAGTGATTGAATCACAGCAGAAAATTAAAAATGACTAAATATATTTTTAAAGTAAAAATACAAATGTATATACATCATAAAATAATGGAATGGAATCATCAGATAATAAATGGAAAATAGTCTTTTCATGAAGGCATTGAAGATCTCAGGAGAATCAATTAGCCTGGATGAAAAAATAAAAAAGATATATAGGATATACATACTATAGATATAGATGATAGATGATAGATTAGATAGATAGATAGATAGATAAATGGAAGGAAGGGAGGGAGGGAAGAAGGGAAGGAGGGAAGGAGGTAGGAAAGGAGAGGAAGGAAGGGGGAGAGAGAGCGAGAGGAAGGAAGGAAGGAAGGAAGGAAGGAAGGAAGGAAGGAAGGAAGGAAGGAAGGAAGGAAGGAAGGAAGGAAGGGAGGAAGGAAGGAAGGAAGGGAAGGAAGATTTAAATGGTAAATGGATGGGTCAGTGTGTCAGTGTGTTTGGCTTCTGTGTGTCCAAGCAATTCATTTAGCTACATTGCTTGGTCAGTGAGTAAACAGTCATACAGCTTGTAAGGAGAGTTCTCAGGGCCCAGTGTATGTACGCAGAACACGCTCTACTTCCAACAGTTGAAATAAATGTAGTACTCCTTGGTGGGCCATTTTCTTCAGCTGGTTTTGTTTTTATTCTTGAGCTCAGCTCCCCTGGGCCTCAAGAGGCTACTTGTCCATGTGACCTGATGCTGGGTTTTGTTTTGTTTTTTTTCCCTGTGGCAGTGGATGGCAGGTGGACCTCCTGGAGCAAGTGGTCTACTTGTGGGACCGAGTGCACACACTGGCGCAGGCGGGAGTGCACGGCGCCAGCCCCCAAGAATGGAGGCAAGGACTGCGACGGTCTGGTCTTGCAGTCCAAGAACTGCACTGATGGGCTTTGCATGCAGAGTAAGTCTTTTTGAGCAAACAGTGCACACCGGGGAGACCTGAGATCTAACCATTTAGAATTCCTTGCAGGAAATATTAGAAATTAAAAAGTACTTGAACATCAAAAAATGTAATAATATACCAGTATCCTAGGTCTCTTCCCAAGGTGAAAAAGGTGAACTCCCAGGAACCAAAAGGAATAACTGTGCCCAGTTAACAAATGACACACACAGCATTTGCCTCCCATGAGCAAAGTGTGATTTAGTCATCTCCAGAGAGGGGCTGCCATTCTTTCCAAACCAGGGAACCGCTACTTGGTTTTATTAGAGTGCACAAAAGGGCACCCTAAACACCTCATGGAGTCACATGACTTCCCCCAAATAAGCTATTTATTCCTAATTCATGGCTGTTAGCGAACTAGGGTCCATGGGGTATATAATATGTACAAGGACAGCAAACACTTCTGCAGGGGGCCTTACCAAGTTACAAGTGTTTTGTGGGAACACCTTCACAGCTCCTTGAAAATGATGGGTTTTCTAAGAAATTGTATTTCTTTAAAGGAAACAATGTTAATAAAAGATAAAATTTTAAAATGGGTTTAGAAGATTGGCTCAGGAATATAATGAATATTTGAAGCTAAATAGTCCTCATTTTTTTCATGACTTTGTTCTTTAGGTTTTCTTAATGAGATGGTTGTTACCCTTTTATCACGGAGCCCTTAGATGTACAAAATTACCGTCTCTTTCATGACAATGAATTAAGGTACTAAGAATTGTTCTGAAATCACACACATATAGATGAATAGGTCAAACGATGTACTCTTTGTATCTTTATGGCGGCCAAATGTTGACATTTCTTATAACATGTTGCAAATTGCTTACAAATACAGGCAACTGAATATATTTGTGTAGAAGCTTTTTACAAATAAAATAGTTTATTTTCATCATATCTGTGAAATTCTGGTTACCTTCCAAAGTCTATCCACATAGGGACCTTTAAAAAGCAACTTTACTTAAAATACAAATGAGTAATTATGTTGCTGACACAGAATAAAAATCCAATAGGCCTTTTGTTTTTCTGTGCACGGTAGGTTCCATTCTTTGAAAACGGCTGCTGCTGAGTGTAAAAAGCACAGCTTCTGGTTATGATTTGGAGACTGCTGCTGTGTATCTTGCTAAGCTTGTACCTGAAAAGCAAGAATGAAAAGAATACAGCTGTTCTACTCACCATTTATCCAGATACAGCCTTTGTTCCTCTAGGCATGAGTTTGAGTGAGGATTAAAATAAAAACATATGCCACACAACTTATTCTTTTAACATTTTTATGATTTAGTATTCTTCAATTGTTCGCATTGAATCATGTGATTAAAAAATAGCAAAATTTGAACTCTCTCTCTCTCTCTTTCCCTTCCTCACTCTCTCTACGCTCTTCTTCTCTTCTTCCCCACCATGTTCCTGTCTCAGTATTATATTTTAACTTTGAGTGATTTAATTGCCCGCTACTTGTATTAGACTTTACTAATAAGGCTGAATACACATGTAAAAGTTGAATTCATAAATTCAAAATAAGATTTTTAAGGTCAGAACTGAACAGGAACAAAAAAGAAGGAACAAAAGAAATGTGGTCTGCTTCCAAATCTTGGCTATTATTAATAACACTGCAGTGAACATAGGGGTGCATATATTCTTTCAAATTAGCGTTTCAGTTTTCTTGGGATATATCCCAGAAGTGGAATTGCTGGGTCATAAAGCAGTTCCATTTTTTAATTTTTTGAAGTAATTCCATACTGCTTTCTACAGTGGCTGCATCAATCTGCATTCCCACCAACAATCCACAAAGTTTCCCTTTTCTCCACATCTTTGCCATTTACTGATGATAACCATTCTGACAGATTTGAAGTCATATCTCATTGTGATTCTAATTTATATTTCTCTGACGATTTCTCTGATGATTAATGACAAGTGCCCATAGGTAGATAAGTGGATAAAAAAGCTGTGGTACATTTACACAAGGGAATACTACTTGGCCATAAAAAAGAAGGAAATCTTAACCTTTGTGACAAGGATGGACCCTAGAGAGTATTATGTTAAGTGAAATAAGGCAGTCAGAGAAAGACAAATACTGTATAATTTCATTTATCTGTGGAATCTAATGAACAAAATAAACTAACAAGGCGGATACAGACTCATGGATACAGAGAACATACTGACAACTATCAGAGGGGAGGCAGTTGGAGGCTGGGTGAGAAGGGTGAGGAGATTAAGCAAAGGACTCACGAGAAAGAAAGACTCATGAACACAGACAATAGTATGGTGATTGCCAGAGGGAAGGGAAGATGTGGGGAGGTAGAAGAGAGTAAACGGGGGAATAAATGGTGATGGAAGGAGACTTGAATTGGGGTGGTAAACACACAATACAATATACATATGATGTGCTGTAGAATTGTATACCTGAAACCTATATAATTTTATTAACCTGTGTCACTGCAATAAATTCAATAAATAAATAAATAAATAAACAAATGTGGTCATTGAAAACAGTAAATAAGATGATATACATCAGGGATCATCATGTGTCAAGGATAATGATGCAAATGAATTAAACTCACCTGTTAAAGGAAATTCAGAATTATAGTAGGAAAACACAGCTTTATACTGTTTATGAGAGACAAAATGAAATCATAAGTGTAGAGAGAGATTCAAAGTTAAGTAGAACTTACAATATAGTTCAACCTTTATTTTATAATGTTCAATTAATGGCTCAGATTATCTGATTTGGCTATTCTTAATTCAATTCTATTTCCCACTGTGCCTAAGTAACACATCTTTGAGATTGTGTTTGCTCATAGCTTTAGTTTAGATTTTTGCTTTTCTTGATGCTTAGTTTTTAGAATGTTGAACTTTCCATTGAATATTTAATCAAAAGTTTTCTAAATTGTTTACCAGGCTATTAGTTGTTTGTGTAAGATGCCTTAAAAAGCCAGGTGCTTCCTCAACATCAATTTAAATTTTCAAAAGACTTTGAGGTTTACTTTAAAAATTATATAATATTTTACAGATAGAACAATGCTAAACATTAGTAAATGTGCAGTAAAGTAGAATCTTTTGTATTTTACTAACAGGAATACACATTTTTACAATTATTTGGGGTTGTGATTTGACGATATGAATTAAGAGATTTAAAAGTGTTCACAGCCTTTGACCCAGTAATCCTACTTCAGTGACTAAATTTTCAGTAAGTAATATGAATCCCTAAAAAGATGTATGTTAAATATGTCATATCCTTTGTATTTTACTCTAAAAAATGAAAAATCTGCAAGTCCAATATTAGAGCAATGGTTAAATAATACATGCTATTTCCATAAGGTATGATATCATATAGCCACTAAAATACTCAGGATGTTTAACATGAAAAGCAGAGTATAAATTTATAGGTACATTTTTTCATAAGTATGCAAAAGTAAGTTTTAGGGAAAGATTAATGAAGTTTATGCATTTATGCTTATGACATTACAACTGATTATTTTTCTTTTTCAATATGCATTATATTCTCAATATTCTTTATTTTTAGTACTTCATTATGTTTATAATTATAAATGAATTTTTGATAAAGAGATATTGAGAATTACCTGGAACAACTGCATATCTTGTAAGCAGAAGTCTCAGGATTTGAAATGTAGCAAAATCACTGATATGTCCTGGGAATTTGATCACATTGATTCAAATTAGATTAGATTTAAATTAGATTACAAAAAAAGTATTTGCACAAAATACTTGCGTAAAGCCCTAGTTGTATAAAATCCTGGGTGGCAAGAGTTACTTATAGCCAATAAATCAAGTGCGTTTATAAAAGGATTTGAAGACATGGGGATTTGGAACTGAATTATAGTTTTGCATTATTTCCCAGTTGCCTATTATATACCCTTGCAAATATACTTATCCTTAAACTCTTTTATAAATTGGATTTATTATGTGATGCTGTGTAATTTCATTTGCAAAACAATGTCATGGTCTTTAAGCAATTTCAGAAGCTCTACTAAATTTTTTAGGCCATTTATACACATTGATTGATACTGAAGTATATTAGACATCATGTACCTATTACACTAGATATATCGTCATGGGCCTGAAAAAGTAGCTCCTACACTGGAGACACTGCCTTCCAATTAGAACTTCCAGAAATTGGTGTTATTTCACCAGAATGCATTATTAAAGGTTAATTAAAAACCCTCAGAGTCACTTAATGTCCCAGAAAGAAGTTGAACATATTTGGTTTATAATCACATGGTTAATTAAAAAAAAAACCAGTTTAAAAACTGGAGTCCTTTAGTTTGCTGAAGGTAAGACTTGGAGTATTTTTCACTATTAAAAGTAACAACACATGTGGCTGATATGTCTGATGATGAGAAACTTAACACTAATAACAGATGAGACTGTTTGTACTTAATAATACTACAGAACAATGCATCTTATTCAGAAGGCAGTAATGGAAGGGCCATTGCACGGTACACCCATTAGGTTTCTTTATATCATTCCTAAAATTATATGGGTTTGCCATATAGTTTTGAAATAGGATTTACTTGAAATGGTTCTGTGGAGAGAGAGAGAGAAAAAAAAGACAGAGAGAAAGAACACTAGACACAGAAAAAAAGATACAGAAGAAGAAAAAAGCACTTAGGACAGTCTCCAAAAATGCTAAGCCAATACGCATATTTTACCTTTTTATCTTTTATGTTGAATACAATTGTGTTACCAAGACCTGACAACTTTGAACTTTTATGATCTTTATAACGAATATGTAGTAAAATCTACTTTGTCATGGTTGGCATTTAATGGTTTAATCCATGCTTACTTTTTCCTTTTCAAAACAACAATCCAAGGACTACGTATGTGGCTTAGTCCAGAAATGGTACTTTATATATATTTATCAATATGTTCAATTAGATTGTTACATACTGCCTCTCTTCCTAAGGACTTTAGTTTTTAATCCTATTTGAAGATTGGCATCCCATGTAGGAATA